CTGTGAAAACATGGAAAGCTTGAATCTCAGTGATTGTGGTCTATTGGATGAACATCTTCACCGTCCTCTGAAATGTTTTCAAAATGTGGAAGACTTGGAACTATCGAAGAATGATCTTGTGTCACTTCCTGAGTGCATTAAAGAGTGTGCTTATTTGGAGAGTCTAAATCTGAGTGACTGCAAGAGGCTAAGAGATATACCAGAGCTGCCATCAACGTTGCAGGACATAACTGCAGAGAACTGCACATCATTAACTGCGGAGTCGATAGGCCGTTTATGGTCTCAGGTATTTCTCATCCTTTTTTTTTTTTTTCCTTTTTTCTTTTGCGATTTTAAAGATTAATGAAAGGAGTGTGAACGGTAAGATAGTTATTAGTGAACAGTCTCGCAAGTGTTAAATTACCTAACGTATTCTCTTATTATGTGCTTATATATTCTCTTATTTTTTATTTTCAAATCAGTAAATGCCTTTGGTCGCTGCTGTTTGTTAAATCAGGCAAAAGAGGTGGTCTTTCAGGTGGCAATGGTTCTGCCAGCAACAACATTTCCTGACTGGCTAGATTATTGCTGTAAAGGGGGGAAATTGTCTTTTCGTGTTCGTGGAAATTTCCCACGTGCCCTTGTCGGATGCGAGATGGAGCAAGTAATAAACACAAGGTGTATATACTCAGTGAAAGCTTTTATGAGCATCAATGGTCGTCATAAAATGCCGTGGATGATACATGATCGTGCTGCAAGGAAAAAGGGCGAAGTTTTACTCACTGCAGTTTACCCACATCATGTATTTTTATTTGATCTGCTCCATCATTTTAGGGAAGAAGAGTTGGAGGGGTTTAATAGGTTTTTGGGATTGGATAAAAGGAATGATGTGGACATAGAAATCACATGTCACCCACCAGATATGTCCATAATTAACTGTGGTATTTATGTCGATAAGCAACAAACGAACATGGAGAATGTACAGTTCAAGTCTTCTGAACTGATTTCCATGAAAACTTCAAGAACTTCACTGAAACGAAGAGCCATAGCTTCTCATCCTAGCGAACCGCCCAACAAGCATCTAAGAGGGTTCCAAGAAAAGATTAATAATACGAGAAAGAGGACAAGGTGAGCCTCTACTTCCTCTTATTAACTGTCGTTTTGTGGTTTATGAGTATTGTTGATGTTTTCCCCTTTCGTGTATTATTGTAGGAAAAACTAAACCTCACCAGATTTGTCGCTCACAGTTGAAGAGAAAGATGGTTTTCCCTTTGTCTAAGCATCTTTGGAGAGCTTTGTATTCTAAGGCATCAAAATATTACAATTGGTAGCAAATTGTTAGTTAATAGAAAGGAATTCTGGGTGATTGTTAATTCCGATGTGACGATTAATTTCATTTTTTAATTTATTATCATATATTTATATATATAAATATAAGTGGTTATATGAGTAATATGTTTACGATGTAAATATTATGGTATATCTTGTGTTCAATTTGTTTAATGACAATTGCTATAGAAATATCATTATGTATCTTGAATTTTTATTTTTTGAAAAGTTATTAAGAATAGGGATATTTTATTTTAGAAAAATATATTTAGGTGAAGTTTTATATATCTATTATAGCAGGTTCTTCTGTCACATTAGTCATGTGTTTTTTTTTTTTTTATGTAAGTTTATAATCAAATACTATTAGATACTAATATTTTAAAAATAAAGCACATGATTATATGTAATTAAAAAATTTAACATAATAAATCTAAATGACTTGATATAGGGGAAAATGCTTACATTAAGATGTTATATTCATTATAAAACAATAAATAAAGTTGTGTGATTGTCATGTCAAATGGGATTCGAATCATTATAAAACAATATTGCTAATCATGAAGGGGGCGCATAAATAAGAGCGAACGAAAAGAAAAGAACGCAAATACTACTGCTACGTATAAAACTTTATATTTTGGTTATAGTTATATTAACTTGTGCACAGCAATTTAGGGAATGATTAATGTTTAGACCATCAGTTTTGTTTTGTACAGTTTTATAAAGATTAAAATATTTGATGTCGCAGACTTTTTTAACCCTTTACAGTAGTCGCAGACTTTTTTTTTCCCTTTACAGTAGTTTTTTAAAACAAAATTGAAGGCGGAGTAGAAATGTACATATCTTTTCAACTTCTTTCGAAAATTATAAAATTTTATGGGTTTAAAATCATTTTTGTTCTAAAAAAATTTTATGGCTTGGGACTATTAAGAATTTTTTTTGACTCAGTATCCTCTTGGAAGTGTAAAAAAAAAAGTAATGTCATCCAAATAAAATTTTATATCGTTAAAAATATAGTGAAAACATATTATATTATCATAGCCAGCTGGTTTTTGCTCTCTTTGTTTTTTTTTAAATTTAATGATGATTATTTTATAAATTTCTTCATGAAGGGTATGGTTTTGTCTTTGGAATTGACGTAACTATGAGATGTAATGCAAGCATTGGATGTGGAAGACTGCGATGCCTTTGTTTCTGTATTGTACATTCCGTCTTTTCATTTCTTCCAGCTATTATATAACTGAGAGATCTGTTGGCCAAAAAAGAAAAACTGAGAGATCTGTTTCCCCTATTTTTAGTGGCTTGCTTCACTTCTAGCTATAATTTGTTCGTATCATTGGTAAATATGTCCAGCTGTGAGTAGATTTAAATTGACATGAAAGATGTCATATCATCAAATAAAGTCGGGATTATTGATAGGCATATCATAGAGTTAAATGACTTGTAAATGTAAGTTCTCGGGTAATATAAATTTTAGTCTTTTAAATTTAATTTTAATTTTAGTTTTTTTAAATTTTAAATTATAAGTTTTAATCTCTTAATTTTTTATTTAAAATATTAATCCTTATAATTTAATAAAAATTTGAATTGTTTTACTGTTTGAGGGATCAAAACCTATTATTTGAAATTTGAGGGATCAAAATTAAAATGAAAACAAATTTAAAGGATTAAAAATTATATTAACCCTAGACATAAAGGTATTAAGTTAAATCAATTATTTTCTACGAGAACAAAGATGAGGTTCGATACTCACTTTAATTTAATTTGGACCATTCAAATTGACCTTGGATAGTATAAATTTAATTTAAAATTTTTTGTTTGCTTAAATAATTTTTTATTTTAATATATATAAAATTTAAAATAAAGATAATCTTAAAATTAACTCTTTCTTTAAAAATAAATTTATTAATGAGAAAATTATAAATTAAAATTTTTTGCGTACAAATTTAAAATGTCTCCAAATCACTTTAAAACCCGTAAGTGAAAAGAAAAAAGAGAGAGAGAAAAAATGAAACAAAATGAGAAAAACATATAATTAATTAAGAGTGCATGATTAGATAAAAAATTAAATCCTTTTAAAAATTTGATGCTTATATTTTGAAGTGAATGAGTATTATTTAATTAATTTAATGCAAAGGCTGATTGAAAAATGAATGAGAGAGATAGCACGAGGGGGAGAGAATAAGTTACCGAGTTTGTTTTGCTTACAAATCATGTGGGCCCAGCTGTCATTCATCCTCCCTTCCACCAATCGTTCAGGTTGAGCATTTTTGAAAGCGCAGCATTTAAGTATTCTTGCTTACTGTTTATAGTGTCGAGGTCAAAAAGCCTCCCTCTAGGATGCCCAAATAAAGCGACAAGGCATTTATTTGTGTTTTTGCAAACCACGAGTGAAGCATCTTTCACGTACAGTGCATCTTAGTAACTTCGATATGTTCAATAATTGAGAGTATCGGATCCAAAAGACATGCACGCAACGCGCAAACTAAAATTATTTGTTGAAAGATTATGAAAGTAAGGTATTAATAATTTTTACTTCCCATTTGGTGTAGAAAAAATGACTTCTCTTCTTCGTCTGGTAATATTTATTATTATGGCAATCATAATTTAAAAACACTGTGCTTAATTTTATGAATATGGCAAATATTTCTCTTATTCTTTAAAAGCACGCGCCTCTTTCTACTAGAAAAAGCAAATATTTATACGTTCATTGCTTTCTAAGATATATAATTATAAAATTCATTACGATGAGATTTTGTTAATTTTTTTTATAATAACTTATGGTCGTCAACATATTTTCACATACAAAATGTCGTAGGGAAAACAAATTTCAAATACACAAGATAAAACTAATTCATTTATCGTCTTAGGTTTTTCTCCTGCCACAGGCATCCAAGAAAGCTCCAAAAAAAGAGTGAAAAACACAATTAGCTATAACTTATATTATTCATAAATTTTTTTTGATTGTGTTTATTCTTGAGCCCCTCAAATGTCAATGGTGACGGTCCTACGGGAATTTCTTTAATTTTATTTTAGAAAAAATTTAGAATGAGTCCCTTATTGAAAAATTAATTGGCAAATAGAACTTAAGGACTGTGTGCCAATTAATTTTTATTGTGTGCAACTTAACTTTTTTTGTATAGAATTTATCTTCTCTTGTGTGCCATAATTTTTCTTTGTACAATGTGCAACTCAATTTCCATTTGTAAAAATGAAATTTTCTTATATGTAAGTCATCTTCTCTATGTACAAACTAATCCGCTATATCCAAATAATATTTTGTGGAAATCATCTTATCTTTGTGCAACTTACCTTCTTTTACGTGGAACTAATATTTCCTTGTGCAATGAATCATCTTAGGAACTATTTGCTAATTAAATTTGTAATGAGGGATTTATCTCAATTTTTTCTTTATTTTATGGCCAGAATGGTCCTATCGATCAATTTCAAATAAAGCATTAAGGCATCTTTCTTTCTTTTTTTTTGGGGTTGGAAAGCATTAAGGCATCTTTACGTACAAAGAAACCAGAATGGGGCGTCTTCCACGGTATTATTTTCAAACGTTTTCAACATTGACGCCGGCCAACACTGGATTCCTAAAAAGACAACATTAAACTGGAACTAATTTGCTTACATTTCCCTAAGTTCTTCTGTGCTTACTCAAGATTAAATTGGACATAGCAGGCAGCTTAATCATGGCGACTCAAGTTGAAACAACATCATCCTTTGGCTCCAATAACAAAACCAAGTATAGATATGATGTTTTTCTGAGTTTTAGAGGTGAAGATACTCGCCGCACCTTCACTGTGCCTCTCTACAATGCTTTGCGATGTAAGGGAATCAATGCCTTCATTGACGACAGGAAGCTTGGCAAAGGGGAAGAGATCTCACCTACGCTTCTTAGAGCCATTGAGAGATCGAGAATTTCCTTCATTGTGTTCTCTAGGAACTATGCTACTTCCACATGGTGCCTAGAGGAACTCGCCCATATCATTTGGTGTCAGAAGCAGAAGAACCAGCTGGTTATGCCCATCTTTTACAAGGTGGATCCGTTGGATGTTCAGTATCAGAAAAATAGCTTTCAGGAAGCCATGGCTGCTCTTGAAGATAGGTTCAGAGATGACTTGGAGAAAGTGCACAAATGGAGATCTGCTTTGTTTGAAGCTGCTAGCTTATCACCAGCATGGCTTTTCGAAGAAGATGGGTATGTTTTCTTGTATTATTTTCTTAGTGGTTAGCACGCTATTGAAGATGTTTGAAATTTTGACTTGTGACTATCGCTTTTGCAGTCCAATGAAAGGTGCAAGAAATTAAACATGTAGTTTTCACAGTATTGTTCTTATGAGGATTATTATGAAGTTTTAACTTTTGATTCTTAAAATAAATGCTGAATTTAAATTTAATAAATAAACGTTTAATCTAATGTTTACTCTAAATTTACTCCAATTTTTACCAATAAAATAAAACATAATAACGATACGTTGACAGTTACGCATACCCTTTTTCTTTAATAAGTTTTTGAACCCAGTTTTCACTTTTAATACTACTTTAGAGTAAAATACTATCATGGATATTCATATAAGATTACAATATAAATTTGCGATCTTAATAAATTAGACATATTCTTTTTATAGTTTGTAACAAGTACAGCTTCGTAACAATAATTATTAAGATATTTTTGTTTTTGCATGATTACTTTTGGTTACTTAAATGATGTCAAGTGCACATTTGTTCCTCTAGTTTTATACAATGTTTTAGCTTAGTTTCTTCATTGTAGAAGTATTTTTTCATTCTCTTAAAACTCCAGATGTTTTTGTAACAATTATTGTTATTTTAAAAATTAAACTTAATATGCCACATTTGACAATAGTTTGTCAATATTTCAAATTGAAATTTCAATGTCAGTATTTTTTGGTTTACAGTGTCAGGATAAAATGATTGAAGATATACTTATATAAAATTAAGGGATCAAAGTGAAACCGCTAAAAATGAACTTCAAATATGCACCTTGTATATAAGGGATTCAAATAAATCCTAGACACATACAGTGAAAGTATTAAAATCTTGGAGAACCAATTAATATTGATAATCTCTTCAAAGAATCCAAACATAACTGTATTGAAAAAAATTATATGATAATAGAGTACAAATATATAAAACAGAACATGTTACGAAAATCATCTTCATAGTAAAAATTTTCGCTTTTGTAGATACGACGAAGGTGAATTTATTGAAGGTATTGCTGAAGATGCATACGCTAGGCTGCCTCCTAAACGCTTCCATAACGATGATTACATCGTTGGACTTGAGCCCCGTATAGAAGAAGTCATGTCACTTTTGGATGAGTCTGATAACAGTGTTTCTATGTTGGGGATTCATGGAGCTGGTGGAATTGGTAAAACAACCCTTGCAAAAGCCATCTATAACTCAATCTTCTTCTATTTTGAAGGTGCTTGTTTTTTATTTGATGTCAGAGAAGCGTCAAAGAAATATCAGGGTGTTGTCCGCCTTCAACAAACACTTCTATCAGAAGTTCTTGAGGAAAGGAAGATGAAGTTTGGTAGTGTTGATGAAGGAATATCAAAAATAAAGCATAGACTCTCTCACAAAAAGATTTTGTTGATTCTTGATGACGTTGAAGAAGTTGAACAGTTAGAACAACTTGCAGGAGGGGCTGATTGGTTTGGTTGTGGAAGCAAGATCATCATAACAACAAGAAACAAGCAATTGCTAGTTGCACACGATCTTAAAAAAACATATGAAATGAAAGAGCTGAATGAGCATGACTCTCTTAAACTGTTTTGTTGGCATGCCTTTCGAATGAGCCACCCTCCAAAAAGCTACAAAAGTATGTCAATTGGTGTTACAGATTATGTACGTGGCCTTCCTTTGGCCTTAAAATTGATAGGCTCCAATTTGAGACATAGAAAATTAGCGGAATGGAGATATACACTACAACAATATAACCAAATCACTGGAAGAACAATACATGAGATATTGAAAATAAGCTATGATTGCTTACAAGAGGGTGCTAAGCGTATTTTTCTGGACATTGCTTGTTTCTTTAAAGAGGAGAATTTGGAATATGTTGAAGACATACTAGGAGCTTGTTATTATGGGACAAGGTTTTATATTGAAGTTCTTGTTGATAAATCTCTAATAAGTGTTGCTGATAATGGTCGCTTGCACATGCATGATCTAATTCAACAAATGGCTAGAGAGATTGTTAAGCAAGAGGCACCCTCCAATCTTGGTAAACGTAGCAGGTTATGGTATTACAAAGATGTGCTTAATGTGCTGCAAAATAATTTAGTAAGAGAAAAAGGTTATCTATTTCCTTACATACATTAAATTGTACAAATTTGAAAAATTATCTAACAATGTCACTTTTTTGAACTTGTATTATAGGGAGGAAATGATATTGAAGGGATAATCCTTGATCCACCTAAACAAGAAGAAGTGATATGGAATGGTTTGGCCTTTCAGAAGATGAATAATCTTCAAATTCTCATTGTTCGAAATACCCAATTCTTAACAAGTCCCAAGTATCTTCCTAATAGTTTGAGATTGCTTGATTGGGAGAGATATCCTTCTATGACATTACCACCAGATTTTTCTCCTCCAAAACTAGTTTGCTTCAAGTTATATAGAAGTCTTTTCAAATTGGAAGAGCCATTCCAGGTACATATTTTTAACTCTTTTTTTTTTTTTTTACCTCTTTCTATCTTTTTTCTTTGATCAAATTTCTGGAGCCATAATGTTTTCTAAGAATCAAGAATAAATAACTTTAACTCTCATTGTATTTTTTGTTATTATCTATATATAGACTTGCTCACCTATTTCGGATTTCAGAGATTCAATATAAGATAGATAAACCAAAGAGATGCTAAAATATTCTATTCAAAATATAATATTTATTGATAGTTGCTGTTAATTAAATAACCTTATATTTTTGTTTTTGCAGAAGTTGAATATGTGACATATATGAATTTCTCGCAATGTGAATTCTTGAGAGAAGTGCCTGATATGTCTCATTTTCGAAATTTAAAAACATTGAGCTTTCGCGAATGTTGCAATCTGATCAAAGTTCATGATTCTGTGGGATCTCTTCATAAGCTAATACTATTAGATGTTGGCGAATGTACCAAACTTAAAAGCTTTCCATGTGAAATCAACATGCCATGTCTTGAAGATCTCACTCTTTCTGGCTGCAAGAGTCTTAACTACTTGCCACGTATAGTCGGAAAGATGGATGCACTTACCGGTATTTCTGCAGATAGGACTGCTATTAAAGAGCTCCCACCTTCCATTGGAAATCTTTCAGGGCTTGATACTTTGTTTATAGACTCTTGCAAAAGTCTTGGGGAGCTTCCGACCAGCTTATTGATGTTGCAAAATCTTAGCACACTTTGTTTGGAGGCATTCAACCTCGTGGTAGAAAATCTTTAAAGAAACTAATGCAAGAGAGTCAACCATTGACTAGTTGCACAAACATGGAGTTCCTGGAACTTGGAAACTGTGGCTTGTTGGATGAAGATGTTTACCTTACTCTAAAATGTTTTCAGAATGTGCATCACTTGGATCTATCAAGAAATGATTTTGTGTCAATTCCTGACTGTATTAAAGAGTGTGCTAATTTGAGGGCACTAGAAATACATAATTGCAAGAGGCTAAGAGACATACCAGAGTTGCCATCAGGGTTGAATGACATAAGGGCAGAGAATTGCACATCTCTAACAACTCAGTCAGTAGGCCGTTTATGGTCTCAGGTTTTTCTCATGCCTTTGATAATTTTCATTTGTCATGATCCTGGGCTTTATAGCTATGGCAAGGATAAACTTCTAAAAATCATGTCATAATTAGAATTTTTCAGCATTCGGTAATGTTTAATAATTTTTATTCATCTAAAGACATAGAAAGATAGGAAGATCATATTAAAAACATTCCAATGAATGGGAGATTAAGTTATTTGATATCTATAATTATAAATAATTACTCCTTCAATTATAAATGTAGGAACTAGTTAGGGATTTATGGTTCTGAATGTAAGATTTAATCTATTTTCTCTCTTATATTTATTAATTTTTCTGAAACCAATTGTTTAACTTTATAAACTGATATATAATCTAACGTTATCATGTCAATTTTGTTGGAATTAGGTAATTTATTGAGCTTCCTTAATCTCCTCAATTAACTAAGTAGTTCTTACATTAAAGACCAGATGAGTAAATTGGAAGTATTCTTTTATGTGTAGTTCTCGAATCTGAAAACACCTTTGGTCTCTATTGTTTTGATAAATCAGGCTAAAATCTTCTTTTGCAAAGGAGTTGGTATGCCGACAACAACATTTCCTGATTGGATTGATTATTGCTGTAAAGGAGGCACATTGTCTCTTCGTGTTCATGGGAAAACTTTTCCCCGTCTTGTTGTTGCAATTGAATCAGGGAAAACAAAGACAAGAAAGAGTATTCCCTTCCAAGTTTTTATGAGAATCAATGGTCGTCAAATGTCATGGATAGAAGGTGATGTTCCTTATGTGCCTGATGCAAGTAAAGAAGGTCGTGTGTTGCTCTTTTTCGGTAAGCAAGGCCATGTGTTCTTATTTGATATACTTCAGAATTTTCTTGAAGAAGAAATGAAGGGGCTCAATAAGTTTCTAGAATCAGATTGGAACGACGTGGACATACACGTAATGTGTGGGTCATATATTTCCATAATCAAGTGTGGAGTTTATGTTGATAAGCAGCAAATAAGTATGGAGAATATTTGCTTTGTGTCTCCTAGGGAGTTCATGAATACTTCAAGGACTTCACTGAAACGAAAAGCCATAGCTTCTTCTCTTGGTGAATCAGCCAAGAAGCTCTTGAGACATTTCAAGGCTGCTAATAAAAGAAAGCTCAATGACAAAGGGACACATTAAAGTGAGTTTCTACTTTCTTCTACTAATTGTCATTTCAATTTTGTGCTTATCATTCGTTTTGTTCCCTTTCATGTATTGCAGGAGAAGAAAACGACACCAAGTTTCTTGGTACATGATGTCTTACCCAATGGGCGAGCATTTTTGGAAACTTCTTTACTACTAGATGTTGGTTAACAAATGGTCTGTTTTTGTACACATGGTTGTTGATTTCAATGTCATTGTGTATTGGTAATTTATGTTTATGACGAAAAATAGTACCATATATAAATACTTATATCTAATGTTTCATTTCTCAACATCATATATTCTAAAAAGGAAAAATTGCAAATGAAGACCCCTAATATGTAAAATTACAATTTGGGACCCTCAACTTGAAAATAACAAATAAGGACCTGATTCCACTTTTGCAAATATCAAATTGTATTAAAATGTTTGAAATACCCCTCAGCTGAATGACAAGTTGACTATGAAAAATAACAAGTTCATTTTAGCGAAGGACAATTTCAGTAGACCAAATCACAACTTGGCTGAGGGTATGACAAATGATAAGTTGACTACGAGAAATGACAAGTTCACTTTAGCGAATGGCAACTACAGTAAACCAAATCACAATTTAGCTGAAGGACATTTCAGACATTTCACCCACATTTCATATTTGCAAAAGTGGGACTGAGTCCTTATTTGCTATTCTCCAAATTCAGAGTCCCAAATCACAATTTTACATATTAAGGGGTCTTTATTTGCAATTTTTCCATCTAGAAACTTGGTATAATTGTTTAAATTTGCTATGATTTTCATATTAGGAAGCCTCTACCATGGATAATAAGCTAGTTCTTGAGTGAGAATACTTGGTGATCTAGAAAAAAGCTACCCACTGAAGGTCTGACCAACAAGGCCACCAAGAAATTTGGCAGCCCCATCCCCCCCCCCAAATAATCTTTTGGGATTTTAGACTAGTCCCCACAATAAAATAGTTGCCAATTTGTTGAAAGCTTTACAAACCCATATAATTGTTAAGGGGAAAATTAGAGAAAAGACTTTAGAGAAAATCATTATATCTATTGAAAAGCATCATACAAATTATAATTATTTAAAAATACTAATCGCTAAAATGTAAATTTTAAAACACTAAATTCACTCTCGCCAATTTTCCTCCATGACCTCCTACCTTCAATTTTTTAAATAAAAGATAAAACTGATGAAGCCGAAACCGCATTTCGATCTCTTTGCTTCTGCACAATCATGAACATCCAAATATATATGGAAGATAACAGAAGTAAACATTAATACTGTGGGAGATAAAGTTAATTGACATCTTATATCTAATGCTAAATCCAATCTTTCAACTAGTTCTTATATTAAGAACTGAAAATAGTAGTACTTTTTCTTCAATCTCCCAGCCTAATTTTCAGTTATATATATTATAGTAAGCTATACTACATGCAGATCATTAGTAACATGGCTAGCTAGCTCTTTACAAATTGTGCAAAGATGCATAATATAACATATTATTATATTACTCCTCTGTGGAATCCCCCTTATAAAAATGGCTCAGCCAAACTAGTTGTTGTCCTTTTTATTCTGAGACATTGAACGTTGCTTATTATCTTAGGCAATTATATTCTGGAAGACATCGTAAATGGCACGTCTTTTTATTTGGAATTGACGTAACTGTGTGTGTGTGTGTGTCTATAGAGATAGGCACTGGATGTGGAAGAATGCGATCCCTTTTGAGTGGGAAATGAAATGCGAAAGGGAATAATATATTATTAGAATATTTGCTTCTGCACATATGTTTATATGAGATCCGTCTCTCCTTTTTAAATAGCATGTCTTTTCACTCCTAGCTATAACTTGTTAGAATCATTTGTTGTTGATATGTTTAAGGGGATAAGATGGATCCAGTACCCCGAAATATTTTCTCGGATACATTCAGTACTTTTAAGTATTTTGTGGTCCATTCAGTACCCCGAAATATATTTTTCAGGTGTCTCGCTACTTGCAATATTTTTTGATGTATCTAGCATCTCAAAATATTTTTTTTTTACATCTAGTACCCAAAAAATCTTTTTTGGTGCATCAAGCACCAAGACAAAAAAAAAAGCTTCATGATAATAGATGCATCACAAAATAGTTCGAAGTGCTGAATGCAGCTAATATAATACTTCAGCGACTGAATACACTTTAACTTTATGTTTAAGTGGACTTGAATTAATATGGAAGCACCCATACATTTGAAGCAGTTAAGCATTTTGTTTTCTTTTTTTTTTAAAAAAAAAACCAGCAGTGGAGCATCTTTTGCGTGCAATAGTTCAACTCAACCAGCATCCTTGCTGTTGAATTACATGTATGTAAAAAACTTGTAAATTAAACATAGATACGTTTGAGTGTTTAATCTTACTCTTAATTCATAATTATTTTAACCAATTTTTTGTTTGTTTTCAAAATTATTTTTTGTACATAGATTTTAAATAATTCAAAATAATTCAACAATTGAAAATATGTAACATGATATTGACGTCTTTCCCAAAATTGATGGAGAAGGAGAATAAAAAACTAATTAATGAGAGTTTTTTGAAAGAAGTTTTTTCCTTTGAAATCTCCACATTTTACAAAAGAAACAGTTGAAGAGAAAAATATGTGACTCGCACGTATTATTTTCTCTCCAATTTTCTTTCCCTCTCACTTTTTTCTACTTATCCAAGGAGGGGAAGATATAATTTTCCCTCATGCTAACTCAAGCACATTGGTAACGCAATTTCAGATTATACGTATCCTTTCAAGCAATTACTTCACAGGTACTTCAAAAATATTCTCTTCTCCGTCTTCATACGTTGATCATTGTTTCGCTTCCAAAATTTAGAAAAGCATTGTAATAATTGGAATATGATTCTCTAGCTGACTGGATTGACGTAACTGAGACATGCAAAAAGGAATAATATATGCATCGATTTAATTTTGTCACATCCTCCACACTGATGTGGGAAAATTAAAATTAAATATTCTATCCCATCATCGTTATAAAACATTTTAAACATCACACCGAAATTAAAAAAAAAAGAAGTAGTTAAATTATTAATTTTGTTTGACAATGACTAAAAATTTCACATTTATCCTTATTTAAAATTAGAAATCATGTATTGAGAAGCTATAGAAAATTTGAATTGAATATTAAATAGGGAAATTTTTTGTATGCAAAAATAGGGATAAAATGTAAATAATATTTTACATGATGATTTATAATACTAGGAGTCATCTATTCGTTTCAAAGTGTGCCTCATAACAAAGAATCGAAAGTGTGTTTTATTATAGGGATTACATATTAGTAAAGTATACAAATTTTATAACAAATTTTACCGAATATAAATTAAAGACTACTTCACGAACTATAAATAATAGGGAAACTTATTTTACATGTACCCAAACTTTTTTTTATCAATCTTTTATTTTTTACATGTAATTTTCTTTTTTTAGTTACATCATTTAATTTTTGCTCTATTAGCATAGCTTGCTTTATTAATATAATTAGCTTTTGTATAGGTGTTCACGGTGCTCATCGAAGAACAAAGTTAAAGATTTAATTAAAAAAAGCATATAAGTGCCAAATTAAAAATCGAGAAAAAGTATGTGTATTCTCAAGATAGTTTTCCCTAAATAATATGGCTGATTTATTTTTCAATTTTTTTATGCTACACAAAACATATTTTATATGGATAAAATTACTTTAAGAGATACTCATACTGTTTTAATATCGATCTTACCTCTTGCTTTTATTATTCGTAAAGAATTTAATTAATGGTAATTATCTTGGAGCCGCTCATCGTGCCGTCGTTTCTTTTTGCCTTTTTTTTTAAGACATAGGTATCCTCTTATCAAATGTAACTTTATTTAAATATTATCGGGTACTAAATATAAGACTTATCCCAATAAGAATTCAAACCTTAGTTTACTATGTTATGGGAGATTAGACTTTTTTGCTAGACCTGATCCCATTGATAGGTCCTTTCGACATAACCAAATAAAGCAATGTGGCTTTTTCCTTGTGTTTTCAGGAAAACAAAAAAAAAAAAAGAAAAACACCTGCGGTAAAGCATTTTTTATGTACTACGAATTTCACTTTGATATGTTCAATAATTGAAAGTATCGGTTCCAAAAGACAAATAACTTGGGACTAGACGCAAAAACTAAAATTAATTAGAAAAAATATAATTAGGTCTCAAAATATCAATTTAAGCTATATGTAAGTTTCAATTTGCAATTGAAATTTTAGCAACATTATTTTTAAAAAAAAAAGAGCCAACATTATTTTTTAAACATTATCTTAATTTATACTACCTCTGGTCTTTAATATGAAAACTAATTTGACTTTTTATTTGGTCCTAAATATAAGATCCCAATCCACTTTGTCTCTCATATTTATCTATTTTTTTAAGGTAGTTCTTGTAGTATTTGTATATATTAAATATTTCATCAAATGACACTTTATTAATAAGGATATTTTAGGAAAGATAACACCTATTTATTGTAACAACTAACTTAACTAATTTTAATCTACCCAAATTAGTTAACTAGCTCTTATATTAAGAACCAGATATAATAGTATGTATTATTATAAAAGCTAAAGGAAAAAAAAGAGCAACATGATAAGAGCAAAAAAGAGATGTAAAAAAAGAGGGTGGGGTCTCATTCATATACAAGTATACAAAATATATAGTCTTTTATAACCTTTCAAACAAATTGAGATTGACAATAAGATGAAGAAAATGAACTTACATATTTTCATAATACATATAATAAAGATTCCCAAGAAAAAGTCGATTTTAGAGACTGTGATTTCGTGGGTAAAATTCTAAATATCCTTTCATATATGGAAATCCACGTCATAATGATACCTATAGCAGTATGAAGCTGTTAAGCAGTTAATATGTTCCGGTAAGAAAAAGAAAAAGAAAAGAAAAGGCAGTTAATAGTGCTGGCTTATTCCTTTCTTTCCATCTTTATTTTTTCCTTTGTGGTTCAAACTTATTCCTTTCTTTTCAATATATTCTCCAAAATTATGATAAATTCATCAAGTCAATCTATCATCCACTGCTTTTGATCTCATGAATTATTCTTCAGATATTTATATGGACCTATATTGCATAATACCATAGCATAGCTATTTATCTTCACTGTTTAAGTTCAATAATACAAGAACACCATTAATCAAAATGCCAGGGAGAGCTGTGGGTCCATTTATTTCGCATGATCAACGAGCTTGCGGGACCAGATCTTTTTAAAACAAAACTTATTGTAACACACACATAATTATTTCTTTTTTTCCAGGAATACGGCCTCACACACTATGCAACTTGGTCCGCCGTGGATTACTGAGTCCTCAAGATGAATGAAAATAAAACAAAAACAAACTGGAAGAAGACCGGAAAAAAAGGATCCATCATCTGCACCATCATTATTTTTTTGGGTCAACAGTTGCTTCAGAAATACAAAAGTCAAACAAAAACAAGGTACCAACGTCTTCCCATTTGGATCCATTTAATAATATATATACACACACACATTTATATGAAAGCACAATCCACGTTAACTCTATAAGTTTCTCTCTCGTTTGAGTTTTCAAATCTCAACACCTAACTTCAAGTCTGCGATTATTGCAGCCATGGCGATTCAAGTGGTTTCATCATCACCATCATCCCATAGCTTCACCAGCGAAGCTAAGTATCGATATGATGTTTTCCTGAGTTTCAGAGGTGAAGATACTCGCCACATCTTCACTGCACCTCTCTACGATGCTTTGCACCGTAAGGGAATCAACGCCTTCATTGATGACAAGAAGCTTGGGAAAGGGGAAAAGATCTCACCTACGCTTCTTAAGGCCATTGAGAGATCCAGGATTTCCATTATTGTGTTCTCTAAGAACTATGCTACTTCCACTTGGTGCCTGGAGGAACTTGCTCACATCGTTTGGTGTAAGGAGGAAAAGAACCAGCTGGTTATGCCCATCTTTTACAAGGTAGATCCGATGGATGTTCAGTATCAGAGAAACAGCTTTGAGGAAGCCATGGCTGTTCTTGAAGAAAGATTCAGAGATGA